ACTAGAGTTCACATTAAACGAAGGTGGATAGATCCTAAGCCCCAAAAGTCAATAAGTCATAACATAAGCAGTTTCATTACTGCCTATGTAAAAATATAAAATTTCACATCTTCACATTATAAGTATTTTCATCGATACTTATATAAACATACCTTTAAGCAGCGCGGCGTGACGAAGACGAGTGGTCGGATACAATTTCTAAACACTTAATCACATATAAACCAGTCTACAGAAACGCAGACTGGCTCTGATACCAAACTGTAACGCCCCACTTTATTTTAAAGGATTTATCGAATTTATTTAATAAAAATCACAATAAATTTTTCGCAAACTTTAATTTAATTAAAAACTCAGTGGGCGCTACTCAAATTTACCAAAAGCCTTTAACCAAAAATGCAAACGTATCAAATAAAGACAGCATGCACGAATAATAAATCATAAACCAAACTGGCATTCATTAAGTTCCAAATCATAAAGATAATTCACAATTCCAAGTTCAAAACGACACAGTCATAATATCTCAACATAAATGAGCGGAAGCAAATAAATAAGCGATAAATAAAAGCATGACCACCACCCGTCTTGTCTCGTCACCCGCCAACTGCTTAACCTGCATCAGTTACGAGCAGGTGGGAGTGAGTACAGTTAACTATCGTACTCACACTATGCACATGAATAACTTATAAATGGTATGGTCGCAGCATGAACATAAACAATTAAATCATGTCACATCTCTAGTCACATCAATGACTCTAGTCTCATCAAAGACTCACTCATGTACATCTATGCTCATCAAAGCTAAGCCATGCCATATCAGTGAAACATGGGAGTGCGTGCCACATCAATGACACGGCCTTCTCATAGGTCTTAATGAGATTTACCTCACAGGGTAACCGTATCTTATCATACGAGGACAACCGTATCGACGGCCATCAAGCTCACATCGATAGGCTACATGTTCATTTTCATACATAGATCACACCAAACTTTCATCACAATTTAAATCACACATATGCATAGATAATTTTAGAATAACCCACCTGGAAATTTTGGATTGATGATAGCAAATTAGAAAAGATGAGGACCGAGGCTCGACTCCTCAAACACCTACATGATGTCAAGATCCTACAATCAGAATCTATCTCGACTTAAACTGGAAATCACAAGACAGACCTAGTCGAACTCGATCCGACTAAGTAGTTCGTGAAGTTCTGTGGACGTGGAACACTAAGACTCGGCACTAAACACGACCAAAACACTTATGGTAGTTCACAAAAATCCATCTAAGGTTTGACCAAGTCAAACTTACATAAAAACAAAAAAACAAGTCGATCCAAAATCCATATAACAATTATGTTCGAAAAATTGAAATCATTTAATCGCATGAAAATAGAAGGTCAAGCTACCCTACGAATTAAGCTCTGAAAATTTATACAAAATTTTATCTCCCAGAAACATGTAAAATCACAAAGTTTCAGCTTTAAACTCAAAATACCCCATTTTATAAAATTCGAACAGTAATTCAGCAAAAAGGGCACCTTAATTCATACTCCGACTTAATGAATGAAAATGAACCTGAAATTTTTACACAGCAACATACAGTACGCCAAATTCCACTTATAAAAAATTCAGCCTTAAATGATAACTGCTGCTATTTTTAAAAATTCAAACGAGCAACAGCAGTTTATCGAATTTAAATCCAAACTGAAACCAAACGGACTCTAAAAATTCCCATATTTTACAAACATGATCAAACACCTAAAATATGACTCCCAGTAAAATTTCAGAAGTTTCCATGCAGTAACCGATTTTTAAAAATTCAAACAACAATTCTGCAGATTAAATAAATAAAATATTACCCATATCAAATCAACTCCCAAAATTCTAAAAATTTAACACAACACATATAAGTCACAGAGGCATGACATATTCGAATTTCAGCTCATTTCAGTCAAGCATGAATTTATTATGCATTTAACAATATTCTGGACAGAATACAAATTAATTATTAAAAATAGCTACAAGTCTCCAAAAATTATGAAAATTTTACACAAGGCAGAATATGAACAGATAACACATCCCTCAAAATTTCACATTGTTTCGAGCAGCGAGCTATTTTTAAAAATTTGAACATCAAAACAGCGATTAACAAGCTCGACAACTTGACAATTAAATCACAACACACAATTTATCGTCCGAGGCCTTTTCATAAGACCAAGGACTCGACATTGTTCCATTATCCACCGACTTACACGACTTTCGAGGTCTCGTTCGATTTTTGAGAAAATCGAAGAGATCCCGAACATACGAACACAA